GAAATGGGGAATAATACTTCTTTCACCGTAGGTAGATTATTTATTTTATTTTTCCTTCTCTCCAGGTACTTTTACATGAAAATTGAAACTTGATAAAACTGGCATTAGTTTCCATGTAGTAGCTAAGATGTTTAATTTTAGAATTAATAGATTCTGATAACTTGTACTTTAGAGCTGAGGTGTCAGGTAAAAGGAGGCATTTCTTCCAGTTCTCAAACAGAGCTGATTGGTGTAATCATCCTGTTCTTCGGGGTTTTAAAATAGGTCTCTGATTTTTAACATTAACTGTTAATTAAAAAAATCTGGATGAGCAGAACAAGGTCTCTTTGGCTAATTTCCAGCTGATTTGTCAGCCTCGAGTCGACTTCATATTTTCAAGAACTAATCTGAAAGTGGTGCTGGGGGAGCAATTCTACCCTGGTGGAGCAGCTCTCCCTGTCAGAAGCTGGTTTGTCACTTCGGCGTGCTCAAGCTGCTGGAGCTTAGCCAGGGACTTGCCCTGCACCAGACTTCCAGGCGGTGAGCAGACATGTACTGCCTGATACGTTACCTTTAAAAATGACTTTGACTACAGTAGCTCTGATCTGAATTGAGTTTTTGTAACTTGCAAACTTCACAATAAATCAGTGTATTCTTTTAGAGTTACAGTAGTATTAATGTTATAACCAGTTTGGGAACATGCGTGCTACTGGCAGAAGGACTGGAGGAGCGATGGAGTGCTGGGGCTGGGGGCACATCCCTCCCCAGTCTGGGACTTACCTGGGACCTTTTGGGTGGAGCTCTGCTCTGTCGTCTGACTGCTGCTTGTCTTACAGGGATGGTGTCTGAAGGGGCAGAGACGAAAAAAGAAGCAACTGGCACAGATGTGTTGAAACCAGTGAGTAAAGTTGAGGCCTTGGAGGAAACCTCAACAGCTATTACTCCCCCGACGACCCCAGGTGCTGGGAGCGCCTGGGGTGCTCGGTCTGCACCTACCATAGTCAAGGATGTGAACCCAGAAGTGCTCAGGAGCGGAGTTGCCTGTCTGCCTGGTGAGTAGCTTGGCCAGAATGCGTCTGGGAAGCGTGGTCTGTAGGAGGGCAAGGGAGATGAGCCTTTGTTTGCAGCACTGTGCACCGGTGCCAGTTCCATTCTTCTCACCCCAAACCTCTCCAGAAGCGGCACTTCTTGAATCCTCTAAAGTTTCTTGATGGGAAGGACAGGAAGTAGAACTTCCCTCTCATGAAAGTAATGTTAACGTGCTCCCAGGAGTCTTAAAATGTTAACCGAGCATGTATGAGTCAGAAATGCCAAATCTGTGGGCTTATAGCAGTAGTTCAAAAAGAGGAGAGTGAGGGTTCAGCTAATGATGGGCTGGTGGGCCTGACATCAGACCTGGTCAAAACAATAGAAACTTGATTCACTTGGTAGATAATTAAAGGATAGGAGTGTAGAAGATGCTGTTTGACAGTGCTCTTGTACAACCAGTTTTATTCTTGGTAATTAGAAGTTTGCTTGATTAAATGTAGCTGCCTAGATATAATAGATTTTTAGAAAACGTTTGGTTTCATGACACATAGTGTTGAAAGGATTACCCCAATGAAGTGTGGATGAGCAATGTGTGGGATGAACGATAGTGTAGCTAAATAGCAGATGACAAAACTAGCTAAAAGAAAGGACTTCCCAGAATTGTTCTGCCGAGATCAGTTGTAGGTCAAACATTATTCAGTGTTTGCATCTGATATGGCAGCAAGTAGCGAATTGCTGCAGATAAAACTTGTGCATGACACAAATATTGTGCGCAGGGCCCACACAAGAGGTCTTTGTGTTTAACCAAACACCAAGTGAAGCAGAGGAAGTGAGATCTACCTCTCCAGTGTGAAACAGCCACTTGGCAGTATCTGCGTAAGCGACTCCTGTGGACTTGCTTCCCTCTACAGCCAAGGAGAGGGCTCTCCAGTGTGGGGCAGGACGATAGCTGCATTCAGCCAGCTCAGGAGCCACGTAAGAGTTGAAAACTGGCCAGAGAGCAGAGAAGAGGTCATGCGGAACCTGTGCAGTGCAGAGAAGTTGGGAAGGCGAGCAGAAAGGCAGTACAGGGATGTCCCACTCGGTGCTGGGACTGCATGACCAATTTTGACCTCTGATGTGTGAAGAAGAGAGGGGATGACTCGTCAGATCAAGAAAGTGATTTTACTTCTGTGTACTTGTTGGTGATGCCTCTCAAATAGTTTGGTCTGTTCTTCTGCCTTTGTTATAAAAGGAAATGCTGAATATTGGAGGCGGTACAGAGAAGGCTGACAGCCCTTTCTTGTAACTGAGTTGGATGTCGTATGGCGAGAGACTGGAAGGCTTTTTATCTCGTAAGATGATTGATAATGAGGTGAAAACACCTTTGTGCAGGGGAGGAGGAAAGGGAAATGAGATTTTTTTTCCAGTCTTCTGGAAAAAGGTGAAATGAGAAACCAAGTGCGGGGCAGAGTTATGGTACATTCAAACATGTAACTTTGCATTGGGAGGTAAATTGTTAGAACAAATTCCAAAGGGGGATTTCTAATCTTCTGGTCTGCTGATCAGATTAGACATTTTTATGCCGTGCACAACAGCCAAAAAATTACAGAGGTCGAGAGAGGGGTCTTTCAGAGAAGCTCATAGCCCATACTATTGTAGAAGCTTGGCTATGGTTTAATGCTCTAGTTGTTTCCTTTGTCACAGATTCCTATCACAATGTACAAATGTCAAACGAGGCAAATACAGTTGAATATGGGATGAAGGGACATGCATTTGAAATGCATTGAACAGACAAGGTTTGGGTTTGATACTTCTTCCAAGGGAGTTTTCGTCTAAGGGAGGAATCATGTTTTCTGTAGAAGTGGTATCAGATTTGACAGACATCTCTTCTCTAACATGTCTCCTTTTGGATTTCAGTGGGCAATCCTCACACCTGAAAGAACTCCCTCACCACTCAGTTAATGCTTCATGTTAGACATTGGTAATGATATAATAATTACCTTAGAAAAGATAACTTTTATAATGAATAGTAAGTAAGAGCTAATTAATAAACCAGTAGCTGATGGAGTTAGGAAGAAATTTTCCTTTCAGGAGAGTTTCATTCCTGCATTCTGTTCTTGAATCATTTGGTTATGCCACTGTCAGAGACCTAGTCCTGGCTGCTTTTTTGACCTGGTCAGGCAATTCCTAGGCTCCTATATGAAAATTCAAGGTTTAATCAAGTTCTGGAGATGCCCACCCTTCCTCATGGACAAAAGATGTTGCTTCAGAGTAAGAAAGTTTTATGCTGAATCTGGTTACCGAGCCATTTTTCCAGTAATTGAGTGCTTTGCCTTTTTTTTTTAATTTTATTTTCTGATGATCCGCTTAGCTTATGAAACAAGGTATATTAATGAGCTTTTTCTATTTTCTCTCCAGCTCTTTGATTATACAGTGTCCAGAACACAATATTTCTGGAGTAAGAAAACTCCTCTTGAATCACACAGACGATGAAAGATTTTTATTTTTTTTTTTGTCCCTGCTGTTAGCAGGAGAAAGCCTGTGGCACAGTTCTGGTCCCTGGGGTGTAGAAAGCCCTGCTTCTAAGTGATGCCCATCTGTGTCTGTGGCCCTTACTCAAGTCACAGTTCTAGTGACAGATTGAGATCTCACCAGGGCAATTTTCTGTGCTTGGGGCTGTCCATCTGTACCTGTTTTACCTGTCAACTCGCATGCTTGTCCCTGGGATGGGGAGAGAGGTGGTCCAGGGCAGTATCTCCTGCAGTAGCAATAAAGTTCAGAAGAGACAGAAAGACATAGCTTTCTCTAAGCCTCTGGTTTTCTATTGTGCTTAGGGTTTTGCCCTCTCTCTCTCATGCGATTTGTGTGACAGGAAATGGCTCCTGTTCTTGGGAAGTACTTTTCACACAACAGAGGTGTAGTCCCTACTGTTCTCCAAATCACTTACATTCCTGGTGACGTGGGGGAGCGCAGAGCTCTGGTCGCTCGAGCAGGCTCACTCCAGAGGCACTGCCTGCTTTTGAATGGCAGCTCTGGGTCTCCAAAGTTGGCTTGTCCACCGGCTCTTTACCTCTCCTCTGCGTCTGGAGAGGAGGCTGGATGTAATTCCAGAAATGGCATGTTATATCCTCTTCAGAGTTCTTGGTGCTCGTTGTGGCTAAAGCACCAAACCAGACTATCATTTAGTTTTGGGAGCTCATAGAGCAGGCTTGGTTCCTGTGACATGCTGCGTCTCTGGGCTTTTGGAAAGCAGGGGGTGGAGAACTGTTGCTGTGGCTAAGTGAAGCAGAGGGCTTTCTCCTTCCTCAACATACTGCAACTCGGCTGTGTTGCCCATACTGTGCCTTATCTATTCCCGTGGCACTGAGCGAGCTCTGAAACGTAGGAAAACCTGGCAGTGACTCTGCCCTTGTCAGAGCTGCAGGCAGGCAGGAGTGTGCTTCTGGGCGGTCAACTCTGCGGCCTCTTAGGAGGAGCTCCGGGTTCCTGCTCCAAGGCTTTGCTCCCAGGAGGAGATGTGTCTGGTTACGTGCTACGCTCAGCCTGCAGTGTGCATGTCCAGTCTCATTAGGTAGCATACAATGTTCTTCAAACCTGTGCGCGTTCTCTCGTCTGACAGCAATGTGAATATTGTAACATAAGTGGAGGTGAGATTATATATCTTGAATTTGAGGCTCTTGCTTTTCTCAGAAGGTTGGGTTATCATTAGCCAGCTTCACATTCTTCATAAAATATGGCCGTTTGGGTAGAAGAGAAGAGTGCAAATTTAACACTGCCATGAGAGAAAGACAAGCAGAGCTCAGCTGCTTCACTCTGGGCAGCGTTTGGGTACTTTGGGAGTGTGTTTATAGCCTACTGTGATCTGCAACATACACTATATCATTTCCTGGAAGGTGATGGGGTGGGGGTAGGGGAATATGAGACATACTCACCTGGTACCAGGCTCTGTTGACTTCCTTGGGTGATTTATTTTATTTTTTTTTTTTCTTCTCCCCCCTCTCTTTTTGCAGGTACCAGAGATAAATCGGGACGTGCAGTGGCCATAATAACAACAAGGAACACAGCCTGGTTAAACCCCCACTGCAACACCACTGAGCTTGTACGCCTTCTTCTCTACTTGCATAGCATCCCAAGGTTTGTGACGCTCTCTGGCTGGCAGGGTGGACACTGCTGCTGTGTCCGCTTTGTCTTTCGGGGGTGTGGAAGGTGAGGCAGTGAGTGGAACGAGTTGTCTTTATTGACCTAGGAACCTGGTCCAGACAGTCCCAAAATTATACAGGTGGGGATCTCCTGCTAGGGTGAACTGGCTGGTGCTCAGTGAGCATTTTGGCTATTCCGTATGTGCCTTGTGCACACAGTGCGGTAGAATTAGAATTACTGAATGTTTTCATGCATTGCCTTGAATCCCAGCCATTCTTGCTATCCTTCATTAGCTCAGAAAATGGGATTTGAGAGCTGTGATGGGGCAGTCATGCAGCAGCTCCGTGATACAGTGTTGTGACATGATATTTTTAAGGCCGAGCCTCCAAGCTGAGGGCGAGGGAGGATCTGCAAGGGTTGAGAAAATCTGCCTTGATGTCTGGCTGACAATTGTGGAGTCTGCTGGCTGAAGTTTGCTGCAGCTACTCTTCCTTTCACTATGACAGACTCCCCCCCCAGCCCCAGCTCTTCTCAGGCTCTACTGAGACTTTGTTTCACTTTTAGATGATTAATAAGAGGTAAAGCTAACTCTCTGGTGGTAATTATTTTTCTTTTTTTAAAAAGCCTTTAAACCATTGCTGAAGGGAGCAGGCTTAACCCATGAGAAAGCTTCTGCTACTCATGCTTTGTTTCTTAGGCTTCTCCCTTCAACTCTGATTCTGGGCAAGATAGATATTGGGTCTGATCCAGAATGGCTGTTCTTGTGAAACAGTGCAGCTAAGGCCAAACTGGTCCCTGAACGCAATTAGGAAGGACTGATTTTCCCGTGTGGATTACTCAGCGGGTATCACCACGTTTGCCATCAGTGAGATGTATCCTAGGAATTGGAGAAAGAGGAATTTCAGGTGGAAATAGCAAAGGTAAAAACTGAGCAATCCAGGTGGTGGTTACCATGTATATATTTGGGTTAGGAGGAGGTGGCCGGTTAGTTCCCTGTCCTTACAGAGCCCTAATATAACGGGTTTTTTTTCACCCTGTCATGACTATGGGTTCTGTTTCCATAGTTTTGTTGATTTTCATTGGTGACAAATGTGACCTCTCTTTCTCTATCCTTGCAGACCAGAATGTCAGGCTTTGGGTCTAACTGTTCTTGTGGATGCTCGTCGCTGTTCACCAGTTCCTGCTCTCTTCAAGGCATTCAGCATATTGCAGGTGAGCCTTGAGCTTGGGTAAAGGAACACTACTTGGCTTGCTGTCTTGGTTGGATGTTACATCTCCATCTGCTGCTTATGTCTCCATCTGCTGCTTGGCTTTCAGTTGGCTTTGGGAGGTGGATTTATGCACCCAGCCCTGTTTTAGGAGGGTGACCTGGACTTGCCAGACTGCAGACAAAGCATAAAACCCTAAGCAAGTCTGAGTTAGGGGAGAACACCCATCCGCACCCCTCCAAATTTACTTTTATCTCTGTGCTGAGAACAGCCTGTACCCAAGTCTAAACGCTGTCATGAATTACCATGCTCGTTGTCCCCTGACTGAGAGGTTGTGTGAAACACGCAGGGATTTTTGCCCACTGCAGGGAAGGGAGGAAGAGGCCTCTGCCTGCTGCGGAGGGAAGGACGCTGCTTGTCACGCCAGGTGGAAGAGCATGTGCAGCTGTTGATGTGGCTGTCGGTGAATGATTGGAATCGGACATGCTGTAACTCTATATTGCTTCAGGTCAAAGGCTTTCATAGCAGTCACTCAGAAAGCAAGTGGGTTGCGTTGCCCCCGCTCCCAGACAGCTTCTATCTGCTGCTGTTAGAAAGCCAAGGAGATGCTGGGTTGTAGCTATGACTAATCTCATTTAAGCAGGTGTTCCTTTTAAATCAGAGCTTAGGTCTCTCAGGACTCAAACTCTGCAAACTGGAACAGGGCAATGCTTTAATGAGGCTGGTGTCTCTGTGGTTTATGTGCTTCAGTGCCACATCTGAGAGTTGGGGCTGAGTCAGAGGTCTGTCCTCCTGCTTCCTGGGCTGGGTGGTGCTGTGAGCTGTATCAGCGTGCTCATTCTCTGTGGTGAAGGAGTAATCTGGTGCCCTGCTCAGCTCTGCAGAGGTAACAAGCGAGTTATCTTCTCTTTTATGCTGTGCCCACATGGCAGTGGGCTTGCTAAAGCTTGTGAGCATTTTGTTCCCTGTGTACGTTGCATGGTTGTGTCTTAGTGGGATGGTTTGGAAATCAGCAACGTGTTGAGTCAAAATGTGCTTTTTGGGTCCCCAGTCTCCTACAAGCATGGCAGGAATAAAGCCATTCTAACCTTGAGTTTCCTGCCCTCTGAAATAAGGGAAGGAGGGAAGCTTTTTGCAGTGCCTCTATAATATCCTGCTGTGGTGGCTGTTTGGCTCTGAGCACCTGTTATCAGGGTGGTGCAACAGTTAGTTAACAGGGATTAATGTGCTGCAAGACAGATTGCTGGGGCTGAGTGTGTGCTCCAGGTAACAGTGACTGACAGAGGCTGATTACTCTGCTTGTGGTTGTTTGGTCCTTACCCTGACTCGTCTGTGGACTCCCTAAACAAGACCTGTTTGGCTAGCTCATCATCTGATTACGGCACAGGAATAATCCCCTGGCTCCTCTGAGCCTGTTGGAGATCCTTAGTGTTTACTTCTGTGATCCCGTAACAGTGCTCTCATCTACTCTGAAAGGATATAAAAATAGAGAAAACTGATGGTAACTGCAGCACGGCAAGCTAAGCTTTCTAGAGTGCAGCAAGATTTGCTGGCTGGTGGATACAGAAGCACAGTCAGTCTGTTGTGCCTGTAAGGTCACAAAATAGATCATCTCCTTGGGGTCCTGTCTGAAATCGCTGATGCATCTCCCAGTCTCTTACCTCTGAAGCTCATTTCTCTGCTGTTCTGCTCTCCACTTCAACAGGATTTTATTTACATGGCTTTTGTGAAGCCTACTATGAGAGTGTGTCTGGAATCTCTTAAATATTGAGATCCAGTATTGCTTGTTCAATTTTGAAGGGACGTTTTTCTCTTGAGCAGTGAGGAGCACTGCTTCCCAGTGGGTAAGCACAGATTGGATGACCTGATGCAGAGTCCCTTCCTCCTGCAGCGCTTGGATCTGTTAACCCTAGAGAACCTCCCTGCGGAGGGAAGACTTTGATCCCACAGGTTTGAGGGTCAAGATCTGGCAGTCTGAGGAAATGCTTGCTCCACTCTTCTATCTTTCCGGAATAAATGTGTGAATAGACTTTTTAAGTGCTAACAGACAACTCTTGGTGCTTACAGGTAACTTTCCATACAGCACTGGCAGACTGTCAGTTGTTCTGTCTAGAGCTCTCTAGTAAACTGGTGAAAACTTCTTATCGTCTGTGTCTTCAGGGTGGGGGAAGTTGTGTTCTGCAAGACTTTCCACCTTCACTTTTAGAATATGGGTGGCTGGGCGCTGCTGGAAATCCTTCTGTCCCAGACAGCACTGGGAGCAGAGGCAGAATAAAGTGCTGCAGCAGAGCTAACTCAGGAAGGAGCAAGGAGGAACTCTGGCAGCTCCGTACGGAGGTGAGGGGAAATGTGCAGTGCGTACGTGCTGCAAGAATAGATCATGCTTGTTGCTGTGGGAAGCTGCATAATGATGCTTCGGAGCAAGGATTTTTGTAGAGGTAAATGCTGCTGTGATGTTTGGTCACAGGTTGTCACCAGTAAGCTCCGGGGGGACTGGGGCGCCTGTTCAGAGGAATTTTTGCTGCTCAGTAGTGCTGGGCTGATCCCTTGGTCAGTGAGGAGGCAGTTGCATGGACAGTGGAATGTGTGCACTGGCCTTCCCTGAACAGGTATCTGTGGGATTTCCCTCTGCCTAAGTCTTTATAGAATGAGACTCTTTTGAACTTCACATAGCAGTGTGAACACTTAAACCTGTAATCTGCTGCATCTGTGTGTTGGATGTGTGCCCTGTTACTGCAGAAGTACAGAGGACCTTGGTCTGACGTTAAAGACCAGAGACCTCCTACTACTCCATTAGAAGTGGTCACTTTGAGACTGAATGTGGTATTTAGGGACTGTCCCATCTGCATAGGCATTTCCGGCAGCCTGTGCTTCAGACTGTGCCAAGGAGATTAAATCTGGCCATGGGCTTCCATTTGGGTCAGGAAGCCAGAAGACTGTTTGAGACTTCAGTCTGAGAAAGATGGAAGAAAGTACGTAATTCTCTATTTAAAGAATAATAATAAAGGGATGGATGTTTACCCTGGTGCTTTCTGAGCTCCTATTCTACTCTGTCCACACTGCCCGTTTTGGGAGGTGGGGTGTTCACTTTCATGTGTGGGGCTCTGTTTCTTTGCTTCCAGATAGCTGGTTTTGTTAGCAAAGATAAGAGATTGTGCAGAAAGCTGCAGGAAAGCTTCCTCAAGTAGCATCCTGCTGCTTCCAGCTCTGCTTGTCTCCTGAGGCACTCCTGTAAACTGTTTTAGTCCAATTGGATTGCTCCACCAGTGCTGGATGAGACTGACTTATCTTCAGCTGTTTCAAGAAAAAAATATGATGAAAAATACTTTTTCTTTGGAAATATGACTACTTCTTGGATTGGAAAACCTTGACCTTCTCTCCTGACAGCTTTACTTGTGAATGGTTTTTCAGTCTCTATTTTCAGCAATAACAGACAAGCAAGTGAGTGTTTTGGCTGTTGTAACCTCGTGTTACACCATCACTACCTTTATCCTTCTCTCATATTGCGCATCTCGTGACTGTTGGAGTTGACGAGGGGTTGTGAAAGAATAAATTTATTTAGTGCCATGAATTGTCTTGAAAGTGTGGCTAGTCTTCATCCTTCAGTACCTTCTGGCAGAGCTGCTGATACAGCTGTAATACCTCCCCATCCTCTCTTCAGATGAACTTTAGTATTTACTGAATACAGCCTAATTATGCAAGAAATTCTTTTGATCAGTGTTCAAATAACAGTGAAAGTGTGAATAATTTGCTTTGGGGGAAGGGATTTGAGAAGACTGAGAAACCTCTCACCGTTTTTGGGATGTGTTTCAGTTGGGATTTTTTTCTGCCAGCTCAAAAGGATGTTTTAGGACTAGCCGAGAGAACGGTCTTTTCCTCTGCTCTGGAATCTCTGCTGCTGCTTTCACTTGCAGAATTGGGTCTCCTTGTGTTGGCATTGTTTTTAATTGCTGTACTGAGCCCAGTGTCAGGTTAGGGAGCTCCATCTCTGCTGGTGCACTTGGCTCTGTACTCTGGCTGTGCCGCTCTTGTCAGATATTTAACCTTAAATGCTGCTGAAACCATTTATTTCAACAGGGTTCCCCTGCTGTCATGGCCTGCTGTGTGGCAGGTTCCTTGCAACTCGAGCAATACCGGAAAGGATTTGTTGCTTGACAGTTTCCAAGATATTTGCAGAGGCAAAGACAATCTAAGAGACATCTAGATGGGGTGGTTCTCGTTTAGCCTTGTGGAATGACAGCTCAAATAGCTGTTCTCCTCACTATCCAGATCCAGGTGTCGTGTATTTAGTGGGCCCTGTCTCCATGATCCGGACCTTTCTGCTACGTTTCCCTCTTCCCACTGTCCCTCCCTGTGCCTGTTTCTCAATTCCCTGTAGAGTGCTTCTATAATCGGAGAGCTGCTCCTGGATCACAGAATTTGAACTACAGCTGCCAGAAGTCCCTTGTATTTGGAATTTCTGTCAGTTTAACAGTAGCAACAGGATGCAAGTCCTTGATTGTGAGTTGGCAGTAAGTAAAGACAAGATGACATTTTTGGCACTGTGGGGGGAAAAAAAACCAACCCACAACTTCCTTTCAGTTAGGAGAAGTGACCAGGATAGTTATCAAGAAAAAACTTGGACATTGAATGTGGTTCTTTTCTTTTTCCTCCCCGACACACTTCCCTGTGTAGAAGGTGGAGGTTTTTTTAGTGCAGCCAAGGCCTGACCTCTTTCATTGCTTCCTTAAATACTGCAGGACTAGTTGATCAGAAGCAAGCTACCTTAAGGACGTAGCCTTGTAGACGTTCTCTGTAGATTGGCCTTCCCTGTACCTGGTGACTGCCTTCCAGGCTTTGTAAAGGACTTTGAAGGATAAATTGCAATCTCTTGTGCAAACCTGGTATGGGATGTTCTCCTTAGCATCCCAGCAGATAGGTAATGGATTTGTGCTCTGTTCTGTTGTAGGACATGGATCCTCATTGCATTCATGGAGTACTGCTACTGGTTGAAAGAGATCTGACTTTTCGGATGGAGAAGCCACCGGCAGGACAGGTAATGGAACCATTCATCCACAGGTTGCTGGGTAGCTCTTGATATCCTCTATTTAACTCTCAGAACAGTGAGTTCTGTGTGTGCTGATGTGTGTTTATTCTTGAATGAAATCTCCGTAGTTGTTCTCTGTATTTTATGGTTGTGATCCCTTACGGGTGTGGTATTTATAGGCTTGTAAAGTTTATGCAAGCTGAACATATCTCTGCTGTATTTATTGCTGTGTCTATTGGTGACGTTTGCATCATAGTTATGTCAGCCTGCTGGGGCCCTCAGGACACAGGGGGTTTGTTGAGAACATGGATAGCTGTATAGAGGAGCCCTGCACAATTAACAGTAATAGAGATGCTTTTCAAGTTCTCCTGTTAAAAAGGGGAGAAATCCTTGGTCAGGAGGAGATTGCATTAGGCTAAATCCTGAACTCCATCCCTTGAAGGTACTTGTTGCTTTCCTGGATTTTCCATATCTCATGTTCCCTCTCCTCATAGCTGCTGCTGTCAGTGGCTAAGACTTCTGCAAGAGGGGGAAGAGGAGGTGTGTATGTGTGTGAGGTTCCCTTTGCAGCTGAAATATCTGGGAAGACTAACACGAGGTGCTAATGGAGGAGGGAAAACCATCACAACATCACTCAACACTCCAGCTAGAAGTAAATCTGCCCTGGCATTCCATAGCTGTATAAGAAAACGTAGGCTCTCAGCCATTCTTTGTCTGTGGTGAGTGAATAGAGAATCTCAGTCAACCCTCTCTGCTCTAAGACTGTTACAAGCTACAAGAGTGGACTGAAATTATGCGCCTGCCGAAACCCCATAGACTTTAGGGTAGGCCAGGACCTCCCTTTTGGCTCCTGTGGATGAGGATGTTATGAATAGCATCAGTTTTGCTGCGTGTGGTGTGCTGCCCTAAAAGGCTAAAGAGTAACAAATGCTGTTAGTCCATTTCCTGATTGCCCCCATGTGGAAGAATTTGAAGTGAGAAAGGGGGTTGCTGGTGTGTGCATGCAGGGAGGGCTACAGAAGACATTAAAGACGTTGAACAAATCCTAAGTGTGTAGGAGGGAACAGAGCAAAGGGTAATAAAGGCATCGGCATGCAGGAGGAATTAGAAGCATCATCACTATTTTGTAAGGAGGTGGAAAGTCACAATGTGTGTGGGGGGTTAAATGTCTGCACCTGAGTTCCTAGTGTCTGGGCTGGCTTCCATGTACCTGCAGGAGCGCTTGTCTGTTTCCCTGGTGAGTATAAAAATGCTCTGAGGTCCTACAGACTCACGGAAGGCAAGTTATCTGTGTTGAGATCCAGGACACACTTGAAGCAAAGAGCTGCTGCGATGAGTGGAGAGCTGAGGGTAGGGCAGAGGCTGCTCTGTTAGACTGTTTTTCCAGGAAGTGAGTTGGGGAAGCTGGGGGCTGGATTTAACCTCTCAGACTCTCCAAACAAATGCAAATCGCAGCGCAACGTGGGAACATATGAGGGAGTTGCTCTGCTTATACTGGGAGGTACTGGCTCTGGAGAAGGCTGGCTGCTGCCAGACTTCCATCGCAGATGTTCTGCTTGGTGAAACAGCATGTTGTGGCCTGCATTCCCTCAAGGTTCGCCCACTACGCTGTACAGCAAGCTGCTTTAAGATTGAATTGATTTATTTTTTTTTCCCCTTCATACTGTAGTTATATTGCAGATATACTCTGTGTGCCTTCTTTCTATACAAAATAGATAAAGAAATAAAGGATGCTGTCTTTCATTAACCTTCCCCTCCTCCTCCAATACTGACACCCTAATGCAAATGTGCTTTTATTTCTTCTATTCCTGTGCAGTTTGAACTCCTCACCTCCATGAAATCCCTCCATAAGCACATAGACAGCTCACAGCTGCCTCTAGAACTGGATGGGACCTTCCCTTACTGCCACCGGGACTGGTTAAGCTTCCGCATGGTGAGTAGGATGTCTCATGTTCTTTGGTATCTGAGAGAAGAAATGGCATGGTAACGGAGTTGAAGCAAGAGGAGCTCGTCAGCAGCTGAACCTACAAGCATTAAAAGACAGTGGTTCCTGTAATAGCTATGTATGCAAATGAATCTCTGTTATCAAAGGAGTACTAATACTGTCATTGTAAAATGGATGCACACTGCAACCTATTGGCATGACTGCAGGAACTAAAATTTCAGTTTTTAACTGATCTGTGTTAATTCATCTTTGACTGTATTTTGAAGGGAAGAAAGAAACAGAATCCCATTTTGTTGTGATAGACAGTGGCGCTTCTCTTTGGTTATACTCCGAGGCTTAAGGGCAGACGCTTCTTGTGGTAATCTCAGGAGAAGGTGTTAGTATCATGTTGCCTTTGAACTAACAATCAAGAACTCGAGTATAATAAAAATAGTTAGATCCTGTTGGTTTTGCAGCAGATTCCCCAGGCCAAGCTAAGAACTCCTTGGTAAAAACTGCAATCCTGGCAGGAGTGAAACTTGGAAGTTCCTAATAAACAGTTCAGATATCCCCTGCTGCATGGCAGAACTGATGTGCAGGCTGCCAGAAGTCTGCAAAAGTAGCATCTGTGGCACCAATACCCATCTCTGTGTACACTCATGCTGCGGAGGAAGCATAGGTCCCGTGGATTATGTGCTTGTTGAATCTTTAAAAGCTGTATGGAGACATGATTTGGCAGGCTGAGACTAGACAGGATTAAATCTCTGTAAATCTGCACACGAATTGGCTGTCTTCATGTTGCGCTTGACTTGCTCACCCCAGTGGATGACAGAACCATCGCCTCTGCTTCCAAAATATTTGGTGGTCTTTTGGCTGGGATCTCACTGCCCAGAGTGCTGCGTGGCGCACAGTGCAGTGTTTGAAGCAGGTGAAGATATCGTTGATAATCCCACTGTGTTGCTGGTGGCAAGCTTCAGCAGTTAGACTTAGCATGTGCCAAATATTAACTGAACTTTTCCAACTTATTTTAGAACCCATTTTTTTAAACTTGCATCGAAAAGTACTAGTATGAACCCGTGCTGATGCAGTAGAGGTACAGAAGCCTAATCTCGGTGCCTGGGATTGAATTTGAGGTTTGTTTGGCAGTGAGGAAGCAGAGAAGCTTTGCAAGAGGTTATGGATTAGTTTTCTGGACAGAGTTGAGAAAAGCTTGAGAGCTGAGCTGATCTGTCCATGCAGAAAGATAATTTTTGAAGGAAGAAACGTGGTATCAGACTCCTCTTTGTTTGTGCCTTGCAGCTTAACATGCAAAATGTTACCAAAGGGAGTTAGTGTAGGAATCGATCTGCATGGGTTCCCTATTTATACGATGTGCTGTGTGTGATAGTGACCCATATGCTCAACCCCTTTAGATCTGCAGCTATGTGGCAAACAGCTTTTATTTCCTGTCTCGGTGATCTCACCTGCATCCTGCCTGCTAATCTGTCACTGCTGGGCCTGTTCCAGCGCTCCAGGCAGGAGGGAGTTCAATTCAATAAAGATTCAAACAGCTGCTTTTTTTTTTTTTGGTTTTGTTTTGAGCACGCTTGGTTTGGAATAGCTGTTTCTCCCTCCTCTGATTTCAGTTGGCTAGAGGGTGGCATCTGAGAGTATTTAAGCTTTATATTGCTGACTTTTTCTAAAAAGTACTGTCTCATGAACTCCTGTGAAATGTTTGGGTCTATTTTTTATTCTGTTTTGTTTTCCTCCCCCGCCCCGGAAGAAAGGGGGGATTTCAAATTTGTCAGTAATTTAACATGCTTAATTGTGGAACCTTTTCAGTGTCCTAATCTTTAATTTACAGTACTTTTAATATGAAGAGAAATGATTTAAAGTAGAGAATTTCCAAGTACTTGTTCTATGTTTTTTTTCCCCTCCAAAATTCATGCATAGTGATTCATCTTAGGGGGAAGTTACAAGAAATGTTAATAACAGAAGAATGTTGGACGTAAGTGGACTGATTTTCTTTTCTGTACAGCATGACCCATACAAGCCATGAGTATTTGTAAGGTCTGCATCGAAGCCTTGGTATAGTGTGACGCATCTGAAGCCTCTGATGGGCCTCACTTTGCTGATACAGCCTCACAGAATGGTATAATTGAACCCTTGGGTTGATGCATTTGATCCTCTCTTGATTTCTGTACTTTTAACCTTCTGCAAGCTGAAAAGACAGCTTTCCTGTCAGCCGTGAGACTATAATCTCTGCCTTGGTCCCTTTCTTCTTGTAGAAACTGGAACATTTGCTACAAGGATGCCAGGGTGCATGTGCCTTCCTCCAGGGAGCCATTCATAAAGTGGAATCTGGAAAATTACCTGAAAGAGCTGAGGTAAGCATGTCCCTTACCTGGTGTCAGAGGTGGGCCTGGGACAGAAGGGAGCAGGAGGCTGGACAGCTGCAGAAAAGCTGTAGCTTTGAATTTGCAAGCTGTAGTAGCAGTGTATTCAGTGTGGTACTGTCGCGGCAGCGGCACTAGTTGAAGATAATCCAAATGAGGTGACAGAAGCTCTACTGGGTGTAGAAGCTGGTTCTCTGATCCCTCAGCATTGCTCCAGGAGATCCCCTCTTCAGCTGTGCTTGTTGCTGCTGGGTGCTGGCTTCTTAGCAGCTCCCCAGCTCTGTAGCCGGTACTTTGGTGTCCCTGGTACTGAGCAGCTGCCTCGGGCTGTGCCACACCAGGTTGGCTTGAATGACCTGGAAGAAAGTTAGGTGACAACATAGGTGGTGTTGCCAAGGACCCGGCTGTACTGCGGTTCCGGCTTTGCTGCCTCCAAAACAGAAGTTTGGAAGTGGGCAAGAGGAGAAAGGTGCAAAGGCCGAGACAGTGTCATTGCAAACATGTTGTATCCCTTACACTTGAGAAGCTGCCATACACCTGACAGAGTAGGAAATTGCTGCCGGCTCTTCATTGAGTCTCCCAGCAGTAAAACAATGGAAGATATAATGGTGGCTTCTCTGGGCCTTCCTGCATACACGTGTGTATCCACAAACGCTTCCGTGCATCTTGTCCCACAGCTTGCAGCCGTGCAGGTCCTGGCTATAAGAACGGTAGGAGCTAGCTGTGAGTGGAAAATGAGGCTGGAAAGCCTTCTCTCTATGCCCAGCAAACGGAGTATGGACAATGGTAGGAATTGGGTTTCGATTTTAGCCTGATGCGGAAAGTATCGAAAGCATAAGGAGCACTGTTTATCGCTTTGGGTTTGGCAGGCTTGAGAGGAACAGCCGTGGGAACCAACCTCCCTCTTCCCTAGGGTGGGCCAAGCTGAGATGTGGTTTGCGTGTGTTTTGGGTTGGGTGCTGGTTTTTGCCTGTTCCCTCATTGCCTATAGGTTGCAGTAACTGCTCATCTCCCTCTTGTGATCCCTCCAGGAGGCAGCTGTGCTGCTGAGGAATTACAGGCAGTTGATGAAGAATGTTCTTGAAGATGCACGGCTGGTCAGACTGCAGCTGGAGGGTGGAGCGCTCCTGGCCAGGCTGAGGAAGGAGGAGTCTTGTGTCACCCTCACCCACGACTACAGGTGAGCCCCAAGAGTGGGAGAAGAGGAGGTGGAGTTGAGCAAAAAGCTGGCACTGGGGGGTCTCTGTGAGATGACCCCATCGTTGGTGCAGGCTAGAGAGCAGCTTTGTGTAGCGAGCACTTTTGTTGAAAACAGCAAAGGTGAAAAGCATAATGAATTTTACTCTTATCCTGACTGCTGCTTCCCCAGTCCAAAAACTGGTCTGGGTGGATTCACTTAGATGGTTAAAGTTCCTTTTCCAAGCCAAATCAGACATATCTTCTCTAGCGTAGAGAGGGCTGGATACTTTGTGCGCCTCTAAAACACAAGTCTTAATTGATGATGCCAGTGATGAATGTTTTAGGTCCAAGGCATTTATGGCTGCGTGATTTACCAAGGCACTCCTTACGCAAGGGGATTTCCAAGGACCTTAACTGTGAGGAATGCTTTCTGGCTGAAGCGAGCTCCGATCTCCTCGCACGGTGGTACGGTTTGCACAAACAAATATTCACTGCCCGTTTGCAGAATTGGTATGAGAAGCAAAGACTGAGAGAGGCCAGCTGTTTGAAATCCCCAGGGCATTGCACAACTCCTGTTTGTACTGTTAAAACACCTGAAGCCTATCAGCGTGTGAAGGCCTCTGTGCTATGTGCTGTGCAAACAGCAAGGTAGAAAGAAAGCCTTTGCACCCAGGAGCTTCCAGCCTGAGTGTGAGATAAACGCTGGCGCGTGGGCGCAGACGAGGGTGTAGCGGATGGCGGGGTGGCATGGAATGGCTCCGCGCATCCGCAGCCTTGCTCTGGTTAAACTCGGTTGCTATTGCAAACTGGGAGGTTTTAAGGGAGGGAACGGAGAGAAGATAACAAAATAGCTCGCAGGGTAGGTCACCCAAACACCGGGAAAAGAACAGTTCTCTTTGAAAATTCAGCAAGTGGGTGGCAGTGCAAGTTGCTACCCGTCACTGGGAGATGGGGGTTGGCATTTTGGTGCTGAGAGGGGAGTGTGTGTGGGGACAGGAGTAACCATTTTTTTTTTAAATTATTTTTTTTTTCCCCTGCTCGCTGTGACTCCTGTCAGCAGCGCTGGCAGGCTGTGCAGACAGTTTTCTTGCTGAACTGGTGAAGTACTCTTGATGCGATTTTGGGTACAATTAGTACAGTAGAGCCTTTTCCTTCTGACATGATGGGAGAACACAGATAATGCGGGTTGTTGTTTTGTTTTGTTTTATTTTTTTTTAAGCAAAGCACAGCAACTTTAGAGTCTTAGGAGAATGGGGAGAAAATGCATGCTTTTTATGTTTTGTTTTGGTTTTAAGCTAAGCCTGCACTGTTGTGCAGGGAAATGATCAACTCTGAAAGCTGATCTGACAGAGCCCCTAAGGATAATTTATTGCTTTGATTACCTTAGCAAGGGCAGGGGCGGAGGATACACATGTAATTCTTTGATTGCACAGTGGCTGAGTGCATGCTGAGGCTGTGTGGCATGTTCTCTGTTTAATTCAGGTTATATTCGTTACCAGTATGAATGGAGGGTGTACGCTATGGGTCAAATATATGTGGCTCTCTCCAGCCTGGGAAGCATAAACGAATATAGTTGGAGAAAGTTAGTCCTGTTCTAGCCTGTGAAGTAGTTGCAGAAACTAAAATCCATGCAGTATTTTAGCTGAGGAAATCCCTGCTTGTCGTGTAACTCAGGGCAGAGAACTAAAGAGTCGACCCTTCCCTGTTCCAGGATCCTTTTAAATGGGGGAAAACGCTCTATCACTTGGCCAGAGAACCCTGTATAAGGGACTACTGGTTTTAGATCGTCCACGGCTCTGCACCTGCTCCTTCTCGCCAAACTGGTGTGCAGATATTAAGGGTTCTGAGCTCTGCTAACTGTGAAAAAGCTCCTGTGGTTATGAATTTCAAAGGTTCCTTTAATAGGATCAGTAGGGTAGGGACAAAATATTGTAGTTGGCCTGCTAAGCTATTACAGAGTGGCTATGTGGGTCCAATATTAGATTTTTGACTGGTGACATGTGAAAATGGAACAGGATTGGTTATGCCCATACACTCAGCAGGGCTTGTTACATTGCTTTTCTGAACTTCGAATTGTAAAATCTTGATCATTGCTTAACAGTCTTCAATTTCACACCCCCTCCCTGAATACTTGAAATCAAATTATTTACAAAAGCAAGTCAAGTGGCTTTATTCTTCTTAGCCACCTTTTGGCTCTTGTTTTAATCACACGTCCCACTGTTTTAGTGGTTTTTTTCCTTCTCTCTTGTGGTGCAAAAGCCTGATCAAGCAGAGTGATGACTGCAAAGACTTCTTAGTCAGAAGTTGTGAAGCCGGTTGTGAACAGGTAACAGCCAAAATGTGCAAGAAGTGCACATAAATAGAGGCAAAAATTGTAAGAGCATGAGTTTTGTGGACTCTTAGTGCTCCAGTTAGTTAAAATAAACCAAACAGAAGTGCAGAGCTAAAGGTACAAAGCATGATTTGTCTTAAGAGGCACAAAGAGGACAAGCCCAGCTGCACCATCACCTTGGGATTAAACAAGCAAGGGATTGACTTGCTTCTGTGCAGGGGTTGTGTTTTGCTGGCTCTCACGGCTGCCTTTGCTAGTTTGTGGCTTCACCTCCTGGTATTTTTTTTGCCCTGTGGTAAGAATAGAGATGGACAAACCCATCTGAAAACACTTGACTGCAGGTTAGAGATAGTATGCTAAAATAGGCAAGGAAGCAGGCTTGTGCTCTGTGCAGTCAGATGTTATCTGCCAAATACCTTTCTGGAGCACATAGCAAACAAGACTTGCTTTAGTCTTTCTTTAGTAATGAAACTCTTCCCTTGGGGTTGGTTTTGGCATGTTTCCTTGCTCTGCCCTCCTGGAGAGCCAAAATGCCCTTTGGAGTGTTTCATGACACAAAGCAGTGGGATCTCATTGCTGCTCAGGTCTGAGCCAGGCTTTGTGGGGATTTACTAAGCCAGTGACACAGCTCCTTTCCTGCAGAAATGGAGCTCATCCCATCAGAGATGTGGTCATGTAGGAGAGGTGCATTGTGGTACATCCATTTGTTTTTCTTTGAGAGCCTCCGGGAGTCTTTCCTGGATGGTCCCATCCTGAGAGATGCTGTAGCAGCACAGCAGGGGCTTTGACCGGTAACTCTACTCACTCTCTCTTCCCAATATGAGCTGACCGAGAGTCTCCATACTCCCTTCTCCACCAAGTACCACTGTAAAGGATAGCCTTGCCTATCCACAAAGGGAAAGAAAGATTTCTCCAAGCAGCCTTTCTGGATATCAGCTTTTTCCCAGCTTAGAAAGGAGAAGCTACTTTACCAGAATATGCATCCTGCAGGTATTTGGCTAAGGGGATGCAGTACACTCAGCTGATCCCACACTGCGCTCCCACCTCCTGGAAGACCAGGCTGAATTTGGCCTGGAGTTGGTGCGGGTGTGGTACTGATGAGGCAGTATCTCTGTGGCGCCTCTGTAAGTGCTGTAATGATAGCTCCGGCACAGGCTGGCCACCTGGAGGTGCAGGTGGACTGCTGAAGGTGCCTTCTTCATTGTTGGTGGAGCTGGCTGGCTTTAAAGCCAGCACGTTTGCCTTCACACCATCTGCTGCGCTGAAGGCTCAGTGCTTCTCCAGGTCTGTTAGCTGAAAGCTTCCAGATTTTGCTGTCTTTCTGGGGATTGAAATGCAGAGCTATTAGCCTAGCTGAAGTTCCTGCCGGTAAGTGTGGACAAATGCCACGGAGACATCCATCACTTTAACACTATTAATATTTATTTTTGCACTTTTGGACAGGAAACTCTTAATAAACACAGTCTTTTTAATAAAGTTACATGGAGTTGGCTAGCAGGTGTATCTTTGGCTTCTGGACATCTAGAGTATCGATCAACTAACCTGTGGCTTACAGGCAATTCGCTGAGCCAGTTGTGGAAGATGGGCTGACGCATCGCTTATTTTGTGTTGGATTTTGCAGACTTCTCCAGGCTAATGATGGAAGTGTTGGAGAAGCTGCCAGAAGCCGGGCAGCAGCAGTTGGGAGCTCTTCCTAAAGTGAGGCAGTTGCACGGGGCTGGGCAGCAAGGCGAGGAGACTTTTCACCTGGTCTTCAGCCAGACATTTTCCACTGTTGTTCTCGCTATTGCTGCTCTTCCAGCATAGCCAAGAGCTGGGAACGCTTGCCTAGACAAAGTGTCCAGTGATGCCTTTTGTCCTGTAGATGAGTCAGAAATGGAGTAAAGATGATATAAACATTTTATATTAATATAAAGATGCTTGGTACTAGTTGAACCAGAATACACCTGGCGCATGCCTGGCTCCGCTAGCGAACCTGTGTTCTCAGTGTGGCACGGGAGTGGGATTGCATCACGCTCTGCGTGTTGGCGGGCAGGATCGCCACAGGACTGGATGCGAGAGCTGAAAGAAAGAGGAAAAACCTCAGATGGTGAAGGAATGACCAGGTTGGGTGCTGGGCTCTGTGCAACACGGAACCAGAAAAATCATAATCTCTTCCCCCAAGCTCCTCATCTGAAAAGAATTTGTGCTTGCAAGCTGTGAATAAGCAGCTTATAAATAGATGGAGGAGTGAATTCTCCTTTTGTTTGCAGAAGGCCGTGTAGTCAGTCTCTGTGCTTTGAGGGTGGAGTGGCGAGAGCCAAGAGCTGGTTTTGTGAGCTGGCTATTTTTAGTGTGGCTTGGTGATCCTGTTGGAAGCCCTGGGTGGGGACCTGAGCTGAGCAGAGGTAATGGGCAGTGCAGAGCAGGCTTCCTGAGCGGCAGCTGCCAGGTTCCTGATGCTGGACCTGACTCAATTGCAGCAACAAAGAGGGTGATCGTACAGCAGACAGCCTCTACAGCTCTTGTGCCTGCCTTCCACGCGCAGTGTTGAGGCACTAGTTCTGCTTGAAGCTGTGGCCAGTTAATGAAGCAGTGGGTTATAGCTGTGTAGGAGATCACATTTGTGGGCTTTCAGGAAGACTCCCGTTAGTAACAACTCCTGGGACGCTTTGAGGCAGGGACATGCT